ATCTATCTATCTATCTATCTTCACACTGACAGACAGGTGTGGACAGTCTCACCTGTCTCACCTGTCTGTCTTCCCCCAACTTCACACACCTGGTACCCAACATTAGCTCCAGGCTTTAGCCGGCGCTCAGCTAACATTAGCCCCCCGCTGATTAGCCTCCTTTACAAAGTCTACAACTGCTGCGAGCTGGCGGGTTTCACAAGATCCGAGACCCGTCGGGGAGAAACGGGGGTTTTCTTACCCTTTATAATACGCTTTCACCCGGACTTGGTGGGAATTCTCGCCGGGGTGGGACATGGTGCTGTCCCGCAACGTCGGCATCATAAGCTCCGCCGTAGTCCGTCCGACTCACCGCGGTCCTCCTGCCTCCTTCGGCCCCCTGGTTGTGGACCACCGCCACGCAAACAACACTTTGTTTCACGGTCCGTCGACACACCGAGTGGACGACGAGGCAAGCGGCGGTGAAAACGGTGAATTCGCCCTTCTTTTGGGAAAGAAAAATAACATGTAAAGTAACGAAAAACTTGCGGGCTCCGCCAAACAACTCCCTACTGCAAAGGCCTAACGACGGGCGAGTCCATTGGCGGAATGTTTTGGGGGGTGGCGCAAACGGACGTACAGACATGTAGAGTGACGTTAAACAAATGTTTCACTTAAAACATTCAACATGTGCTGTTATATGCACGTTTTAAATCCATGAGGTATAACAAACTAGTATAATATGCTTTACATGTCCGAGAAATTTAATATATCCGTTGCTTAGCACTCCGACCGTACCAACTGACGCTTTCTGTGTAGGTGAATGATGCTTTCAAGCTCACACATTTGAGCTCGGACATCGTAGAAACACTTGAGATATGTCGCGCATTCAAGTGCTTTGATTTGGAAATAACATAATTGATCAGTAACAAAAGCAAAACGCTTATTTTTAGAGTTGTGTGAGATACTTTCTGTTGCCGTGCAAGAAGGAAGAGAAGAACATATAAGACGGGCGTGTGATTAATAGGCTTGAAGAAAATAAATAAGGAAAACAAATTAACCTACACACTATAATAATTGTTTACATAGCTAACCCTAACAAATACAGCATGCACTACTACATGTTAGCATTAATTGTATTTATTTAGGCCTATTTTATGCAACATCAGGCTATAGAAACAAATATATAACATATTATAAACATATATAAATATAAACATAAAATAAAATAATCCATCTCTGCTGCTGTCAGTTATTCCTTCGCCTCCTTTAGCTACTAAACATATCTGGTGTGTTCAAAGCAATATATTTGCATATTATATAAATTCTGTGGTTCAAACATTTCAGCCTGGTGGTTGACACAGATTCATCTGGCTCTCAGATATTTCCGACAGCACTTGAATACCACGTGAAAGGAGCATCCTTCGCACCTGAGAAGTGAAGAGTTGTTCTTCATCTCTCGGATGAAACTACCGACGGGTCTCGAAACTTAACAAAAATAGTGTTCTGCTGCAGAAATATAATATTTTAACTTCTGTTTTTTTTTTTGTCTGATTCAGAGACAAAGAGACAGAAAGAGACACTGGAATGAGAAACTTTCTTCTTTCTTTCCTTCCTTTCTTTCTTACATCTATTTAGAAAATTAAATACCATTTCAATCAGCCTATGATGCATTAATGTGCATCAATGTTTGTGAACATATTCTAAAATTAAATTGGAAAATTAACTCACAGTCCAATATTCGCTCATATATTTTAACAACATTAACAAACTGAGTATTCTTGCAATTAATTAGCCTTTCCTAAAATAAGTGTTATTTATTCCACATATGACTTATACATACTGATGTTCTATGTTGTCTTTTCTTTTGTTTATACGATTTACTTAATAATATTATTTAATAACATTGCAATTTCTTATGATGTCTGAAGAGCAAGCACCTGCACATATCACATATAAACTGTTGGTTTTATATATTTTATATAAGACTGAAAAGGCTGAAATTAACAAACTAAACTGTGTTTACTGAGAAACAAACCTATAGGGAGGAATGTGAGTTAATTTATGTGATATCAGCCCATTTGTAGTGTTTTTGTGTCCAGTCTCGATGCGTTAAAATCCATATATCTTTTCTTTTGAGCGGATTTTAAAGCTTTTCACTCGACATCAGACACCAAAAAGGCGGATAAAAGCTGATTTTAAACCTCTCGGGGACTCTCCATGCGGTGACTCCCCGGCTGTGGAAGGTCCTCCCGCACTGCGAGCGGTGCTGTGTCAAGGCTTTTTTTTTGTTGTTGTTATTGCCTGCTATATGTAGGCCTACCGTTTTTTTTTTTTCATCTCCATTTTAGACAGTACTGACGCATCAGTAGGCTTCATGACTGGGACAATGTGCCGGGGTATGGTCAGCTCCTGATGGCCCATGTCTATCAATACCAGGCAGGTAACGCCGACAAGAGGTGAATGATTGTGCATGCATAAAGCGCTGTCTCAGCGACGGGAGGCAGACCGACAGGGAAGGAACATCCAGATGTGTGCGTTGACTGTATTATCCTGTAAGGTTTTATCTAAATTATGGAAAGCGCATTTAAGATAAGACTAATTTGTGATCGTTCAGGAGGATTTATCGGGATTATCCTGCCGGTGTTTAATTGGACAGAACCGACTCTGCAGCAAAAAGCAAATCAATATATTCAAGCTGCTGTAGAGCGTCAGTGTTTATCCTTATGGAATATGGGGAATTATATATATGTATATATCTTATTCTGGGTAGCTCTTTGGAATTATTACATTCATATCATATTAATTATAAGCAGCTGAGAGACAAACAAACAAACCAAGCAGCATTGTGGCACCTTTGTTTGTTTGTTTGTTTCTCTCTTACAACCATTTTGAAAATAAATCAATAATGTGGATGATTTACCTTTTTTATATTAGGACATAACAATTGTTTTTTTTCCCCAGGTTACATTCAATAATAATCTTCTTTGTCTAACTTGTGTATGGAGCGGTTTGAATATTCAGATGTAGAAATGACCAAGGTCAAACAAAAAGTTTAAGATTCTCTGAAAATCACAAAGTTTAGTTTGTTTAAATGTTTTGTTTTTTTACTTTTGGCTAAAAACAAACAAACAAATTGATGATTACTTCAGTGCTGCACTGGATAGATTATCTGTAAATGTTTTAGCCTATTTATGTCACATATATTCATTTTATTGCTTATTTTTGGATGAATTCCCCTCATATATATAAAGATATACCAAGTTAAAACCAAACCTAACTGAAATGTGAAAGTATTTTTCCTTTTTGTTTCAAAAACGAATAAAAGACATCATTGAAAAAAACGCCTCTAACCCGGATGGAAATGGGCCGATTTCACGCTGCAGTCAGATGAATTCATATTTTACACCAATGTCCAATCTTTCAATCATGGCTGAATTAAAATATAGTAAATATATAGTGAAACCTCCTCGAATAAAGGTCCCTTTAAGTGTGATGAGTATATTTTGTTGATGCAGTCTATAGATATTCTGTAAAAAGGAAACAGCTGCCGAATCCTGTATTAAATTAACATGTAGTTTAACCATTTGCAGCACGAACACTGGGTGTTTTATATTCCATTAGAAACTATTACAGTATTTAAAAGCTCTCTTTTCTAGACTAAAACTAAAAGCTTCTGCTGCAGAGAGACAGTTTAGAAAACCGCTGAACAACAAAAGAGCAGGTCCATTATCCTGATTTATCTGAAGTTTAATTGTTTAATTCAACTCCCTCTTGTTAATTATCCTAATGTGTGTTTTACCTCCACAGTTTCCCCATTACTGAGTCTGTGTGTGCGACCCGGGAGATGGAGAGGCAGAGCCCAGGAGAGAGGCAGGCAGACGCTAATAGGACCGGAGCCGCCTCCACCCCCCCCTCATCAGCTGCCGTCACCATGGCAACAGTCAGCCCCAGCAGCACCACGTGCACCCAGGCGCCCTCCACCTCCCTCAGCATCCTCTCACCCGACAGACAGGCGGTCCAGGTAATAGACGGTATCTGGGACCTCGGAATATATTGTTTACTGTCAGATAGTCCAGGTAATAGACGGCACCTGGGACCTCGGAATATATTGTTGACATTCAGATAGTCCAGGTAATAGACTGCACCTGGGACTGCAGAATTCATTGTTCCATTTCAAAGGAGTCCAAATAATAGACAGTACCTGGGACCTCTGCAGGCATTGTTTAACCTGACAGACAGCCAGGTGATAGATAGCACCATATAACTCCAGGTACCAGTACAGAACAGTCCACTGTACTGCTGTGAACATTTAGGATATGTATAAATACATATATAGTATATTTTGTTATTTAAAAAAAGTGAGCTATTCATGTAGAATAACTGATGAAAGCAACAATGTGGTTCTCTTATAAGGCTCAAAATATCTCAAACCCATGGCCTTCAAAATAAAAGTGTTTTTTTTTACAAATCAAATCTTCATTATTTTAGGAATATCAAAAAACATCAAATAACCAAAACTAAATCTTCTAAATTCATAAATATTTTAATTTGTCAGATTGAATACAATTCAAAAGACTAATACAAATAATTGTGCTGCAGATCATGTACTAATATTCCTTTGTAAAGCCCTTAATGTGTCTATCATCTGATGCGATAGGTGATCCAGCACGCCATCCACAGACCTCAGAGCATGGCGGCCCAGTACCTGCATCAGATGTACGCAGCCCAGCAGCAGCACCTCATGCTGCAGACGGCAGCCCTGCAGCAGCACCAGCACAGCCCCCATCTGCAGAGTCTGGCCACCATTCAACAGGTCAGCTGGTGTCCGTCACGTGTCAGTGCATTAAGAGTCGTGTTAACATAAACTACAGGGTGTGAGATCTCTCTCCAAATGCTTTCCAGGCTTCAGTCTGTCAGAGGCAGTCACCTTCTTCATCCGCTGGCAATCTGCTTCATCAGCCTGCTGGTGTTTCCCCAAACTCAGTAAGTATCTGTGTTACTCTCATCAACCCGACCTGAGCACAGATATTAACCTCAGCGTCCTTCTTTTTTTATATCGTCCTTCATCACGCTGCCCTGAATCCAGATTACTTTACCAGCGTCTCCGGTGACAGCCCAGCTGATTGGCCGAACCCAAACGTCCACTGGTGCTGCTACTACCATTTCCCAGCAGGCCATGCTCCTGGGAAACAGGCCGGCTAACTGTAACCAAGCTCAGATGTACCTTCGCACTCAGATGGTACAAACCTTTTCACATATCTGAAGCTGGTACTTTAAAACTGCATGACTCGTTTATTTGCCCTATTTTCTGTTTCTGACTGAATGCGTTTTCTTGTGTTTTTTTCTTTCTGACAAAATGCTAATTCTTTATTTTTAACCAACTAGCCACCTGTCTCTCCCTGCTTTATGCTTTTCTTCTGTTAGCTTATTCTAACCCCTGCAGCCACGGTGGCTGCAGTTCAATCAGACCTCCCTGCTGTCACCTCCTGCTCCTCTTTACCTACCTCCTCTCAGGTACTAAACTCTGCCAGGAAACAGAATCAGAAATAAAACCCCAATGCATGCCACAAAGGTGTAATATTATAAACTTCAGGTTGTTACACACCTTGAGCATGAGCCATGTTGCAAAAGATAGTGAGAAGTATAATGCAGCTTGGGATTTTGTTGAATCTTAAAAGAACTATTAATGAAGTTGCATGTGGCAGTGAAGGGCTGCCATCCCCACATCCCTTAGCTTTTATAAACAGTGTGTAAGTGACTTTCTTTTTGTGTATATTCAGGTGCAGAATTTAGCTCTTCGCGCCCACTTACCCGGAGCTCTGGCTACAGCCCACAGTGTGATTTTAAAGCCCTCTGCTCAGTCACAAGCCCAGAATCCGGTCGCCTCTTTATCCAAGACGTCAGTCTGCGCACTGAAGACCAACCAGCTGACTGACACCTCAACAGAAACCGGACCAGCTGATGTCACCCGACTGGCCTCAGGACCTCAGATTGTAACCCCGGGTGAGCTAAAGTGTTCAACTTCTGAGGTTTAAAGGAAAGTTTACTAGAAAGCACATCTGTTTCCGGCTTAAGTGGTGAGTCACAGTTGAGCCAAAATCTGCTCCCACATGCTGTCTGCACTTGTAAACTTATGAAACAGCTACGTTTCAGTCAGCTGACCTTTGTAAGGCATTTTCTATTACAAAGTGTGCAATTATATACTCGCAAAGAACAACAGCCAATCAATCTACCATCCATAAACAACAACAGCTGGGAAGGTGTGGGGGAAGAAAACAATGTGTTTAAGCCTCATTCAGGTAAATTGCAAATAACTCACCCAATAAAGGTGGAATAAATCATTTGTGACACATTGTGGATGGCAGGTGTTTTCTGTAGATATTTTTGCTCCAACAGCGGCTTCGTATCTACAAAAACTGATCATGTTTCAGTTTAACAATGACAGATTTAGTTAACTTTACAGTGTTATCTGTAATCATACATACTTAATACACTTTCTTTTTGATTAATTCTGTGTTTTCTTTTCATTTTTCTATCAGCTCTTTAGTTGTTAAAATAACAATTTCATTTAGTTTTCTTCAGAGATGCATGAAATACTGAGATATAGGCCTATACTGTACATTTATGTCTTTAAATTAAGAAGGGCTCACGACCCCTTGTGAAGCTTTGGTGACCCCTAGTGGGGATCAGGACCCCCAGGTTGGGAACCAGTGTTGTAGGTGACGCGACTTATGACATTAACTTAACATTAACTGTTCTATTAATAGTTTTAAACAAATATATATATATATATAGTTTTAGGGACAAAATTGGGTAAAAACATTAATACATGAATGTGAGTTTAAATGTTTTTTATTAATCTGCATGTGAATGTGTTTTTCTTATTGCCAGGTTAAGTTTTTAGTTTTTAGAGACACTTGTTTTATGTATTTGTTCCTCACGTCTATCTATGCATCGCTCTCCTTGCAGCGTACTCTCCTGTGCAGACCCACGCTCTGGTCAAGCAGCAGCTGTCCTGTCCACCGGGCCAGCGGGTTGGGCAGCACCAGCTCCTCCTCCAGCAAGCAGGTGGAGCTCCGAACCACAGACAGCTGCAGCCCATCGCCCTCAGAGTAGCACCCCAAGAAACCAACTCCAACCCTCTTCCTCTTTCAATTAAAAGACTGACCACTCCCAGCACCCAGTCACAAACTAATAATGACGCCCGGGCCCCTTCTTCCTCCTCCACCTCCTCCTCTTTTTCTTCTTCTCCTTCTCTCACCAGAATGTTTGCAACATCAGCTCAGACCTCAATCCCAGCTGCCGCCGTCCAGCCTCAGCCGCCTCCTCTGGTGGCCGCTCCGCAGCGTCGGACATCATTCCCACAAGTGCAGAACCAACCTCCACCTCCTCCTCCACCTCTAGTCCTCCCCAGGCTCCCCCAGAACCCCCCAGCCTCCCTCCAGAGGCTCTCCCTGCACTCGGTCCAGGCTCTGGCTGTCCAGTCAGGACGGGTGCTGCTGACAGAGCGGGAGCTGCCCGTAGCGGAGGCTCTGGTTCAGATGCCCTACCAGAACCTCCCACCTCCTCAGACGGTGGCTGTTGATCTGAAAGTACATCCGGTCAGACGCAGTGAAACTCCATCGGTGAGTCGCAGTGTGCTGTGGTTAAGCTTTGTAAGCTTTGCCTGTGTTATTTTAACTGAGGGTTTGTTGTGGTTGTTGAATTTCAGTCGGGGCAAACACGCAAAGTGAATGGATTGAGCTCGGAGGAGAGGAAAGATGAATGTTCTCCTCGTCCACAGAGAGACAGGACCCCTACATCTCTCAGTGTGCCTCCTAAGCAGAATGGTGCAGGTAAAACATGATAATGAAAGAATAAAATAGAAAATAAAAGAATATAATAAAAACCTGTTCTAACCCAACAGTTTCATAAAGGTGGCTCGGAAGATCAGAACTTACTGCGAAAAATTAATCTTGAATTAAACAAAAAAATCTGAACCAGGATCTGTTTGGAGCTGAAAATGACTTCTGAAACTAACATGTAGGTTTATTAATAGTGTATTAGTGGGTTTAACATACTATTAAACACCTTTTAAATAACAAATAGGACCAACAATTTATTTCATAGCAATAAAACTACACGACATTAAGATAATTTGCTTTTTTTTAATTTATTTTTTTTACTTACTTAAGTTCTCTATTAGTTGGATTATGATACTTGTTTTGTACACAACAGCCTCTATTAGGTTGAAATACTGTTTATATATCTTCAAACTGCCAAGTCTGCTCCTTTCTGTATTTTCATAAATGGATTTCTTTTCCATGAATCTAATTTGGTGACATTTAAGGAGAGAAGTTGTACAAATATTTCTTACTATGATGTTAGAGCCATGGGTCAACGTTGTCTTAAAATACTGTGCAGATGCATGAAGTCGTGTTCACAGTGCAGCAGTAAAGAGGAACTGTTGAGGGGAGACTGTGTGTCAAATGGATTATAACACTGTTTTAAACTTCCCTTTATGTAACCAGAATCACTGGAATAAGGCTGGTTTAACTGGTAATTGCTTTAGTCAACACCCCTCACTTCTGTTATCCTTTATACCTCTTATTGTTCAGCAGTGATGGGTTCATCCTCTATCATATCCAGTCGCTCTGTGATCCAGTCACCGATGGTGGAAGAGCTGCCCCAGTTTACCACCAGCAGCAGCACCAACAGCAGCAACCCTCCTCCTCCATCTCCTCCTCTACCTCCTCTACCTCCTCCCATCCTTCCAGCTGCAGTAAGAGGCCCCAGCCAGCCTCCCTCTTCCCCAACCAGCGTCCCCGGAAGCCCCGAAAGGATACTCACAACCCACGTCCTCACACACCTCGTAGAGGGCTTCGTTATCCGAGAGGGCCTGGAACCGTTCCCGGTAATTTTAACTCATCCTGAAACCCTTTAAACTGACGTTGTATCGTGTGCTTTGTTGTTTGGTTTTCCAACTAACTAACACACTGTAAATGTCTGATACAAAAAGTAAGGCCTTCTTATTATACTCACTCAATCAATGCCCACAGATGTTGAGGAGAAACCCAGAAGAATGAAATAAAATATACAGAATGTAGGTTTACGTTTAATAAAGGCTCAGCTGGGCACTGTAACGTTAGTCAAACAGGAGTAAATAGTGCATTTGTTGGGGACTGTTGTGGGGGCTCTAGTGGGATTTTATAGCAGCAGGACCGGTAGGAGGAATGAGGGTGGATGCCATCCTCCTTGTTAACCTGCCATCTCTTAGTACCAAGGTCACTATTAGGCGGACCCCGACGCTGTCCTTTCCCGACCCAGACCTGTAGCCAATGAATTATTGAGAATTATTTCATTGTTATTGAGCATTTCTATTTTAACCGACGCAGCTTTTCTAGCCTTTACAGCACTCTGCTTCTGCATTCAGATAAACATTACGACTCCAGTCAGAGAGTGAAAGACACACACAGGGAAGATTAAAAAACTAAATAAAACAGTTGGAGAAATAAGTGAGTCAGACAAAAGTTATTTCACATGCTAGAAAAAGAGAACATTTTCTCAAGCAAAGGTCAGGAACATCATAATGTTGTGGAAGTCAGATGTCCCGACCATGGCTCTGAAATATCAGCAGCCTAACTGTGCAGCGTATTGATAAATCCATGCCGCTGTCTGTGGTGTTGAAGTAGCAGATTGATTTGTAATTGTGCCTTATTCTCTCAGTCTCGCCCTTTTTGTCATTTTGTTCTTGGATCTATAATGTTCTCTAAACTATAGTTTATATAGCGAGTTTTTTAAAGAACTGGTATTCTTGTTGCCCCCACTGTGTGTAGATATACTATCTACATCTATATAAATATATGCTAAATGCATGAGATTCATGGTTTTTGCATTAATTTGAATAACCAGGACAATTTATAGCCTATTAAATAATTATTAACAACATTTTACACTTTTTATTGATAAAACAGATTTAAAAAAACAAGGCAAAACCTTTTTCCTGCCATAATTACCAGTGTAAACGTCAATCCCAGTAGAAAAGGAGAAAGTCATTTAGTTTAAACATTATTATGAACTACTGGTTTTCATTATGCCATATTTTAGTATTTTACTTCCAGTGCTCATGTGTGGGATTGACTGAAAATAAACTAGTGTCCAGGTTTGTTATAGGAACATGTCACCCAGTGCAACAGTGTCGTTCAATTATGTTTTTTTTAATAGTTCTTGGACAACAATGAAGCTCTATAGCACAGAGGAATAAGATATATCCGGCTTTGGCTACACAGGTAATACTTGATTTCAGTGAAAAGAATAGTGAATATCCCCAGCCTTGTCCTTGAAGAGTTACTACTTCTTTATTAATCTTCAACACAGGGTTGGTTGGAACGGGCCTCCCCTTCCGCCCAAATCACTCTAATCCAAAGAAAAATGACACCCTGTCTGTATCTACACTGGTCTTTCCATGTCAGTGTGTGAGATTGTACTTTTCTAACTGGCCCTCTTCATGCAGGTGGTCCCCTCGTCGATGTTAGCAGACCAGCAGGCTTCACTTCCCGAATCCCAGGAGATACAAACCAACGGGGACGAAGCAGCAGAGGACAGTCCGCTGGATGCTGACCAATCGGATTCAACAGACTCTGAGATGGAAAACGACGGCCCTGCAGCAGATGGTGAGGTGGAGTGTGTGTATGTGTGTTTGTGTGTGTACATGTGTGACTAACAGCTGGTCCTGTGAAGTTGCAGAGCTCGGGGAGAGTGTGGCAGGTGTGCTGCAGTGTGAGTTCTGTGGGAACAGAGGTTACGCTCACACGTTCCTGCGCTCCAAACGTTTCTGCTCCATGACGTGTGTCAGAAGGTAAATAAATCACGTTATTGGTTTTTAGATATCACACTTACAACAGTTCAGTTAATCTGTAACTAGTAACAGTCTGGTTCTCTGAAATAATGTCAGTCTGGTGCTAAAAAATTATAGATACAGTAAAATGATACTTGAATAGATGCTGAGTTGGTGTTAGCTGATTAAAACCAACAGTATCAGTATTAAAGGAGCAAAGATAGACACACTATTCTACTGGTAAGTAGCCAGACTGGCTGTTCTGTTTCATCTTTAGGGCTGGCAATGTTATATTTTGTTTTATTGTTACCAAATCCCATGAAAAGACCAAAACCAACGACAGATTCATTGAAATAACAAGTATTGTTTGTGTAGTTAAAGCCTAATGTAGCTCATCCTCAATCTGAGCTGCGTTATTGTCAAAAAATGACTAAGAAAAACATATAAATGAGCCTCACTGTTGCATTGGGTGACATGATCCATCATTACATTACATGAACACACAGTTTAGTTCTTTAAAGTCGATCACACAAACAAACAGAAATACTTACTAGAGCACTGAATGTGTATTAATCCACCTCTGAAAATAGTCCCTTGCTAAAAACCTACAGTGTCCTGCTGTTTTAGGAAATGAAATGACTGAGCCTTTTAAAAAATAAAACTACAGATTTGTGCTACATGTTTAAAGATTTATATCCACGCAGACATAAAGTATGAGCACAGACAGGGTAGAGAAAGCCAGAAAGTATTTTCATGGGATTTGCCGACAATAAGAAAAATGCAGAATGACTCCACACTTACAGTTCAAAACAACGACTGATGTTGGATTATTTTAAAGAACAACTCTGATGCTTAGCTGGGTATTTCAGCTTTGTTTTTAATGTAAGTTTGTTGCCTAGTTACCTAATTACACTGCCTGGACAATTATGTGGAAATAGTCACATTCCCATCCCTCAGCAACTGAAAGTGCCCTTGAACGAGGCACTTCACTGTGGAATAATGTACAATGGAGCTGTGCTGAGGTCAACAAGCCATTATTTGGAACCTCGTGAAAGAAAAAGTGGAGTTTTGCTGCAAAAGAGCATCTTTTCCTGTGTAAGACAAGTAAAGTGAAACTGAAAATGTTGTCTGGCTGGTGGTGAGACACACGTCATCTGACATCTGGGATCCATTCAGCTACATTTGGGTTATAAGAAAAAGGTCTGAAGTGTATAATCACTCCCAGGCATCAAAGAGAGGACAGATGCACATTTTATCCAATGCCTGTCTGCACTCAGAGTAGCAAAAATAAAATCTCAAAGAGCTTTTGTGTTTCAAGACATCATGACTGCAGTGAAGTGTATGAACTGTGTGAATCTGACTGAATGTTTTGAGCCTGTGTCTGTTAAGGTTCAGTGTGAGCTGCACCAAGCGAATCACTATGCTGAGAGCTGGTCGCTGGGGTCACAGGCCGATGGGCAGGAGAGGACGACCCCCCAGCAGAGTCAACGGAGCCTCCAGAGAACATTTTCTGAGAAAGGTCAGTTAATACCACTGACCCGGAGTACTGGAGGGATCACTGGTCCTATGGTACAAGCTGGAGTAAAGCTCTGAAATGGAGACTCCTGACTTGAGAACACATTTTTTAAAATTGTTTTTAAAAAACAGGATGTCTTCTTTTAATGAGTGCCGTGTTTTTCCTTGTTTTATTTGATTCATTTTCGAGTGGCCTGAAGAGATAAAAACTATTTCCAGAAACCCACGAGGAAAAAAAATAGAAAAGAGGAAAGTCTGAAAAAAATAAACAGAACCTTGTTTGTCAGAAATGTTTGTTTCTGCTTTTCTGTATCCTGGTAATCATCAGATTTATCTTTCAATTCCTTATTGGGGTCCCGACCCCGCCGTTGGAAACCACTAGTCTAACTTAATAACAACTTCGTAGACATTGACGAAAACAAAAATATTTTTCTTCTGGCCTCACTGACTTGCTGCAGAGCCAATATGAGTCACATTTTATTTGTACTACCGCCACTCGTCGAGGCTTTTTATAAGGTTTATTTCCGGATGAAGTTTAAAAACGGCTTTACAATAACAGAATGATATATATATATATATATATATATGACAATATACAAAGAAAACAAAATAAAATCAACTGTAAACCAATAAAGAAGTAAACAGATGGAAAGAGAGTTAAAATGGTTAAAGTTATAAAAGTGAAATAATACGTAATAAGTTATTTGAAAAATATTGGCATAAATTAAAATATGATACCCATAGGTATTTTTTCATTAGTTTATTATCACCTGAATATAAGAATTGTGTTTTTGTTACCTTAGAATGACACGTTTTTATCTACANNNTTCCATGGAGGCCGCCATGTTAAACCGACATGTTTCCACAGTAGCCCAGAAGGGACAAACCAAACACTGGCTCTAGATTTTAGTTTTTTGCGCATTTGTGGCCACCGTAGTTTCTCCTTCGTGCTTGGAAATGGATGCAACTACTCCACTAGATGCCACTAAATCCCACACATTGGACCTTTAATAGCCCATCATGCAACACTAAAGTAAACCCTGTAATGCAGTAATTCCTTTAAATTAAACCTTTATTTTGAAAAACCATCACATTAAGTGTGGAGTGTAGTGGTGGATCTTGACTGTCAGTAAATACAATATTTATCTGATTGTGCTCCGCAGGCTGGGGGCTCGTTTCGCTCAGAGGAGACCCGGCAAATCTCTCTGAGAGAGGAGGAAGAGCACGAGGACGAAGAGGAAGACGAACCTCCTGTTCCCATGACAACCAGGCTCCGTAAACAGGCTGAGAGACAGCGAGAGAGGGAGCGAGAGCAGGAGAGAGAGCAGGAGCTGAGGACGACAGAAACAATCAGTGTTTCTGACGGAGAGGAAGACGTCGGCTGTCCGTCTCAGTGGAACGTAGAACAAGTGTTTTCTTTTATCAGCTCCCTGCCAGGTACGGCTGTGACTCTACCACACCTGTTCCCACTGAATTAGGGTGGGAATGTACGTCAGACCAGGGCAGATGTGCAGTTATAAAGTTGTGAAACAGGGCATCATGGTGGCGTGGGGGTGAAGACAATGTCCCCACTTCAAGTCCAGCTGAGGATCCCTCTCTCTCCCCACATTTCTTTACTCTGAGCTATTTTCTGTCAGTCAAAGGCAACAATTATCTTTTTAAAAGTTCCTTTTAGGTTATAAATGTATCAATAAGTCAGACTAGATGTGCAAAAAGTTCCTTTGTAGCAGAGCAGGCAGAGTCTGAAGAGGAAATACAGCATTTTTTTCATATTGAAGTAGTCTTTTGCATTTTATTTTGCACATCCCAGAGTTTGTTTAGCAGTCAATCAGTTTTCAGTCCTTTTTATGCTCTTTGATGTGTTTGATTTTAGAATAGAAATAAGAGATTTCCCAAAATATATAAAACTACCATTTAATTTAAACAGCTCTTTAAAATATATACATTGATTTTTTTAGCATGATAACCAACATAAATACAATTTCCTGGTGCTCAAAAGAAGCCAAACAAACAAAACTCAAATACGTCGGGGTGGGTTGAGCTCCATTGCCTTTGACTTCTAAAATAGTTAAGACACAATAGAGTTCATGTAGGTAGGAAGCAGATTCTCCTGTTAATTCGTGGTGGTGCTCAGTGTTGAAGTGGTGTCTGGAGAAGTGAGGTATACTCCTAATTTATGCCCCAAACTCTTTTTAAGTGGCCTCTCCAGCAAAGGATGAACGTCCTGAGTTATAAACACTGACATGTAAGACTGCTCTTGCATATTTAGCTGTGTTTGCACGTTGTCAGTTAACGTCGGCTGCTTGACTTCAGGCAGTGAGGATCATTATGAAATCAACATTAGGCACAGAAGAGGTGCAGATTTTGCAATCAGTGCTCACAGGCGGGTGGGAACACTACCTAATTATGCAGTTTTTGAGTGAAGTATTCCTGATTTCTCACTCCATCCACTCATGAAAATCATAGGAGGTTTAGAACTGGTGGCGCTCACTGCTAAAAGCAAAATAAGCAGCTTTTCCTTCATGTATCGCGCAAACGCTCCACTGCTGCTGCCTTTAAGGACATAAAATCACCTCCTGTGCATCAAATTAATGCCGCCAGATGTTCAAATGTAGCTTTTGATGAAATTGTCCCACAAAGGCTAAAGCACGCCCCTGGTTTTGACAAGAATATATATGTTGTAATTGTTGTATAAATACAAATATAAACATGCCTACACACACATATGGGTGTGTGTAGGCATATATGAATATTCACATAGAAATATGTACATGCATAATCATACATACACATGGAGCATATAAATACAAACATATGGACGATAAAACAAGATGAATATGATAAATTAAAGATGAGAAAACAAACAAGAAGGAGGTTTGGCTAGAGGTGGGTTTTGAGGTCTCACATATAGATATAAATATCATGGTAAGTGAGTAATTCTCCAAATATCAGCTAACAAAATACATTAGAATGAACAGAGGACTCACTTTATCTCTCTATTGTCTCTTTTCTCCAGGTGGTCAGGACGTAGCTGAGGAGTTTCGCTCCCAGGAGATAGATGGACAGGCTCTGCTGCTCCTAACAGAGGACCACCTGGTCAGCACCATGAACCTTAAACTGGGACCCGCACTGAAACTCTGCGCCCACATTAACTCTCTGAAAGACGCATAAAGAGTTAACACTTGATTTGTGTTGATCTGGGTCGGTGGTGTAGTGGGTATACTTAGGATAAACGCCCTGTGTTATAAACAGTGACTTTAAGACTACTACTCGCATATTCAGCTCACCTAGTTATATTCTTCTAAAGCTGCAGTAGGAAGCTTTTATAAAAATGTACTTTTTGTCGTATTTGCTGGAACTTTTACTGTATCCTGACAGCAGTACATGAGACAGATAATCTGAGACCATAAAGACTGTACTGCTTATAAAATTATTTACAGAGAAAATTACCAACATGAGCAAGAACCTGGCGACAGAAGGAACTTTTAACAGGCAGAAACCTCGAGCAGACCCTGGATTATTTCTCAGATTATCTGTCTCATGTACTACATGTCAGGATATAGTGTAAGTTTCAGCAAATATTTCTTATAAAAGTTTCCTCCTGCAGCTTTAACTTCTGCTGCTTGACTTCAGGGAGTAAGGATCATTGTGAAATAATCATTTGCCACAGAAGAGGTGCAGATTTTGCATCAATATTGGCCCACAGAGACTCGTGAGACAACTACATAATTATGCATTTTGAGTGAAGTATTCCTGATTCCTTTCCACTCGTGAAAATTGGACAACTATGCCATCGGCATCCTGGGAGAGAAAAAACACTACTGAATGATGCACATTAGAGGGGATTTAGAAGACTATACCCCACACTACTCCACCGATCTGGATCAGGATGAAGACAAACAGAAGAGGCGGTCAACAAGGGAAGCATTGTCCGTCTTTAAGTCACCTGCGCTTGGACTTCCACAAAGACAGTTAAAACACTGAGCGGATCATGAATGCGCAGACTTCAGTCCTGAGACCACTGCCAAGGATTTTCCCTTTGTGACGCCTCCAGCTGTTCCAGCTGTGGGTCAGTCACACAGAGCGAAGTCCACATTACCATCACCGGCTGATGTTAACACACACACAGATGAGCAGCTCTTTCTGTCTCCTCTCGTCATTCCACTGTAGTGATTGTAGCTCCGGTTATCCATTTGTTTCAGAATGGTTTTAAAAAGTCCTTTGTATCATTTATAAACAAAGAAAAAACAACAACTTTACATTTAAATTATTACACGAGAGAAGTTAAAGGATGCTGTTCAATCTCAAAGTTTACAAAGCAGATTATTGTCTACTGTCTCAGATTACATTTGATTATCATCAGCAAACAAACAGTTGTGTTGACTAAAGGAACCAAACTGATGACAAGGTTATTTATGAAGTATTTATTATTGCCATAATTAATATACAAATAAAAGCATTCAAATATTCTGCACTGTTGTGTGATATGTTTTTACAGCAAGAAAAGTGAGTGAACATTTTTAGTTTTATTTTGGTTAGTTGTAAGTGATTCAGTAAGGACAGCTTATCTGAAATATTTTACAGGTAGTATGATGACATTCAAGAGTCAAATAACTACAGCAGATAAAGTTTTATCTTAATAATATATAAATAAAAAATAAAACAATCTGTCTGTCCCTCGCTCACATACACGTCAACAACAGTGTGTCCTGCAGGGTCGAGGTCAAAACAAGCTTTAAGAGGTTTCTTATTTTGTAGTATGTTGCTCTAATGTATATTCCATTAAGTTGTATTTAATAAATGTATTTAATAGGGGCCCAAAAAACAATGTCCCTTACTACCTGGCCATGCATTTAGACTCTTATATTCCTCTGCTTTGATCTTCACAGCGTTGCTCAAATGTTTTTTTACGCAGCTTTGAAAGCAAAAGCAGAAAATTAACCCAAATATCAGGTTGTCTCTTGATTTCCTTTTGTTGTTTAGTTCAAATTAAATAAAATGTTTGTGTTTATCGGTTGGTTAATGTGGGATTTAAACTTAAAGCAGCTTTAAAACAAATCTCATGTATTATTAGTGAGCCACCACCAGAGGGCATCTCTCATACAGTTACATTGGATGTACCCACTTCAATCTTACTGTTGTAAACAGTCCAGCAGAAAGAGATCCAATCAGAATTTAGAGCAAACTGTGGATGTGACACTTGTTGCTAAGTCAGAAGTCTGGATGCCGGGTGAGGAGGAGTGATTACACTGATGGAAGTATACTGAAGTATTTAATGAAAACTCAGGTACAAATGGTATCACGTGTTTATAAAAATGTGAACAATTTTCAAATATGACCATACAAATCGTTTGGTGTCACTTAGTCCCAAATCCAACGCTTTAAGGATTTCTCTTTCTTAGTTGCACCTTTACATGATTCAAATTTTTGGACCAAATATTAAGAAAGAATCAATATTATATTTTGTTCATAACATAATCTGCGTGAATGGTCTACATATACAATACATCTACACATTATATACCACTGCTGTGGGTCACTTGTTTAATAATTAAATCTGTGAATTAAATGAAAACATTATACAAAAATAACAGTAGTGAAGGAAATATTACAAGTACAAGTAGCAATACCACTCTATAAAAGTACTCCAGTACTGCACTGAAAAATGCTACTTAAGTAAGATTACTTAAGTATTAGTAGCTAAATGTACTTTAAATATAAAATATTAATATTATTATTGATACATTAATGTCTAAGCAGCATTTTACTGTTAATTTAAATTATTTTGTATACTTTCAGATGGTTTAATCTACATCTCATTGAGCTCCACAAATGTTTTATATTTAAAATCTTAATCTATAGTAACTATAGCTGTCAAATAAATGTAGTAAAAAGTACAATATTTCCCTCTAAAATGCAGTGGAGTAGAAGTATAAAGTGTCTAAAATTGTACTTAGTTCATTTCCACAACTGGAAAAAACATCATTTGTACCTCTGACTTTCTATATATTTCTATATAATAAAATAGGGGTGATTCTCTCTTACGAGGCGTTTTCTGCACCACAAAAGACAGAATAGAATAAAAGTTAATTCACACAATAACAACACGTGAATACAGTAACAGTGATAACTTTGTTTATTTGAAACAAGCTCCGTTCATTTTTTTTACAGCTCTTTCTAAGAGACAGATTAAAATAGATTTGGGAACACTGCTATAATCATTTAAGTGCAAATGAGTACATTTCTCTACTGAAAAACACTACAGACTATATCACACACTGTCTACGCTATAGGGGGGAATGTGCTGCCTGGATGTGAAACGTTATCGATGGAATGTTTCAAGTGTGCGGGGACGTCAGGATGAAAACATTAACAACGGTTACAGTATATAGAGAAAGTCTACATGCACAGTATTTTTGGTTTACAAGGCTAATGTGCAAAAGTTGTTAAGACATCGAGCAGTATCAATGTGATAGAAATGTCGTTAACTCGATGAGCAGATGAGCGTTCAGCGGAGGCGATAAGGTTGATGAGTTTACAGGCACTGCAAAGAGGAGTTTATACATTCTGAATCTGGTAACGCTTTATTTCACCGGTCTGTGAATTCAGATTGAACTCCTCCGACGTTTCCTGAAAAGAACCATGTAACGTGGTACTAATTATAGGTAGAACTGGAGAGTGATCAACTGGTACTCTTAATATATATATATATATATATAAAATATAACTCTTGAATGCTAGCACAAGCCGTAAGACTATTTACGCACAGCGTGTCTACAAGCAAACATAAAATTCAGCTTTTATGAAGAGTAAAGTTTCCGATAATGACTTAATGATGAATACATATTTGCTGGGGTTTAAACTGAGCTATTTTATTCATGTAAATTCCCCTGGAAGTCAATAATAAACTCAAACAACTACAACTACCTAAACTCCAGCTTTATTCTCCCTGAATTTAGAACCAAACTACTTTGTTCTTTCCAGGAAACGCTCAATAAATCACCTGTAAAATAAAGCATTACCCTGAATCTTTCCGCTCTCTCTGCTGAGAGTTCATGTTTATTGCATCTTTAACAGTCAACACTCTGTCCCAACATATGAGAGAAGTTTTTAAAATGTCAGCTGCAATTGAATCTGAAATGTAACTGGATAAATAAATACCCCTGAACTCTGAGCAAACCTGACAACCTACAAGCTGTTAAACTGGCCAATAACCTGAGAGCGAATGAGCAGACATCTACGGCTTTCAAACACAATTCAGATGTAATTAAGAAAAATTAAGGAAAATAAATGTACGTAAAATCTCTAAAAATTATAAATAAATGTAGAAAACACAGGAATGAGCCTTTTTTTTTTTTTTAAACGGAGGAACTGGTTCAACATATTGCCTCTCTGCTTCTTGCTGGTTCTCTCAAGCATGACCTTAAAAAATGGTGGAACTTTTCTCCTGATGGGCAGCAGCAGCTTAGCTTATGATGACGACTGACCCACTCCAGCTCCACCGTGTCGGACACACGCAGAGAGGACGGGCAGGAGGATACTTGAGGATCAAAGTGTCATTGCTGGACGTCCGCCGCGGCTCAGGGCATGCTGCCGGAGCCCAGGCCGTCCTTCTCTGCAGATATGGATTTGACCAGCTCCTCCACCCAGCGGACCTCAGAGGCCACCTGCTCAGCCAGCACCTCGTAGCGGTTTTCCAGACGCCCGAACTTGCGCTTGAGGATGCTGGCGGCGTGCATGGTGAGCCGGGTTTCCTCCTGGCTCTTCTTGCGCTGGGCTTGAGTGCGCTGCAGCTCTTGGCGGATGTGGCTCAGGTCGCTGGAGATGCTCTGGTTCTCCTCCTTGTACCAACCCTCCTTCTCCTCGTATATGGACAGCAGCGCCGCCACGTCCTCCCGGCACGAGCGCTGATTGCGCTCCAGATCCTTCAGGCCTTCCTCTGCCGCCGCGATCTCCTCGAGGACCTGGGAGAAGCGCTCGAAGTTGACGTAAGTGTTGTTGGGCGGCATGCTGGAGTGGGACTTGATGGTGTACTCCTTCAGACGAGTGGTCTTCAGGCGCCTACGCTCGGTCTTGTGGTCTCTCTCCTCCTGGCGGACATTTCGCCTCTTAATCACCTGGAGACGGAAAAATGTAAAGGTAAGTTAACAATAGTGATATTTGAGAAATCAAAAAATCTGTTAATGATAAATCTGCCATTTTCCTACCATGAACAAACATTTTTAATAAGGATTTCTTAAATTAACTGCGTAATGGACGGACCGCAAACATATTTTTGGTGCGATTTCTTGTTCTTATTTCATAATAAAAGAAAGAACAAATGTGGATGAGCTTGAGTAAATAAAAATAAAGCAGTCTGGAGAGGTGGTTTTAAAATTTGAACTGGATGATCTATCAGAAAGAGGACTTTATATGAGCACAACAATTCAGAAATGTACTCAGAGGCTTGACCGTGTAGAGTTACACTGAGTTTTAAACTCCACATGCAGCCAGTGGAGAGTTGACAACAGTGAAGTGAATGTGCTGTCTGCACTTTGTCTTTGTTAGAAGACGGGCTTCAGCATTTTGAACCATGTCTCGACGAGCTATAACGTATAACAAATTACAATAAGCTAGTCTTGGATTCATTTCTCAGCAGTTTCAGAAGATTAAATCATTCTTAAAGTTTCTTAATATGAGCACCTCGCCTCAGTGTTGACCGTTACTACATCAGCAGATATAAACGCTAAATAAAACACTCACCTTAATCCAAGGGTGTTCAAGACTGTCATCGATTGTCATTCTCTTCCTGCAAAATAAAATAAATCAACTTAATGAACTCAAATTTTCCCTTTCTATAAAGTGTGTGTTTTGTGTCCGGTTGGCACATATGTGTCACCTTTATTTAACTGTTTATCTATTATGTATATCTATGTTAATCTGTTTGTTGATCTTTAAAAGAAACCCTAATAAATCTGGAAAAGTTCATACTTGGGATCCTTGACCAGCAGGCGGCGTATGAAGTCCTTGGCCAGCTCACTGGTGTTGCTGAAATACTCCTCGTCAAAGTCATAGTTGACAGCTGAGATGTTGGTCAGAGTCTCCTGCTTCGTCTCGCCCAGAAACGGTGAAGCGCCGCTCAACCTGCAGGCACACGAGAGTTCGCTTTATAAAACACACGGATCACGTGGAGTGAAGTGATTTATGTTGCTACAAATGTCAACAGGTTGTCGTGATGTGAAACATTACTCACAGAATGTATGTGATTACTCCGATGCTCCTGCAGAGAAGAGAAGAACCAAACATGAATGAAAAGGCTCGAAACGGTTCAGTAAACAGCTTTAAAAGGAGAAAAAAAAAACATGTTGACATCTTACCACATGTCCGCCTCCAGTCCAAGAGGCTCGTAGTTGACTATTTCAGGCGCTGTAAAGCACAGAGGAATGAACGCTTTAATTAAAACCAGATGTGGAGGTCTGAACGCACTATCATCCACTTACAAGGTTTAACTGAGTTTCCAGTGCGGGCACACACACTCACAACAACACTGATATTCAGGAAGGAGAAACACAAGCTCACCGACAAACTCCGGTGTTCCAAAAATGTTCTTGAACTCATTTCCAGCTTTAATCTGATGAGCAATCCCAAAATCAATCAGCTTGATCCTGGGGTTGGGGACGTTCTTGTCCAGCAGCATGATGTTCTCAGGCTGAAACATAAAAACAATATGAGAGAATGAGGTTCGGATGCAGTTCACATGTGAACACGATTCAATGTTATTTAACTGTCGCAGGGAGAAATCTCTGCTTTACACTTTCTTTCTTTCTTTCTTTCCTCTGTCTGTCTCTGTTCTACTGTCATACTCCGTCTCTACCTCACTGTAACTTTGTCTAGTATTGAGTATTTTATCCTAGATTTATACTTAATATTTCTATTTCATAATATCTTATATAATATTTTTGAGAATTCTGCACATTGTATTGCATATTTATAGTTATTTGTTGTGATTATTTTCTTTTAATATATATTCTGACAACTTGCTGCTGTGAAAAATAATTTCCCCACTTAGGATCAATAAAGTCCATCCATCCATCGAGCTAATGAAATTCTGATTGTAGTTCCTTTTTTTTTTATTTTATTGAACCGGGCAAGATATTAAGAACAAACTCTTATTCACAATGACAGCCTGACAGAAGGAAAAGCCTCTTGAGGGAAGGGGTGTTGGGTCTTATCAGAGAAATCATTCATCAACAGCAGCATTACACAAAGAAAACATGAGCCACTTTTCTATGTTGGCGTCAGTGTGCTGCACAACTGTAGTATTACAGAAACTAAAATAAATGTCTAATACTGAGAACAGGCCTAAAGAGATGCTGATTGCATTACTGGTAATCTTGGGGATACATTAAAACTATTCCTTTCTTTTACACCTTAAGTTAAAGTGCCTACACTGTAATGTTGTATGAAGGGTGATTAAATCAAGTTTGATTTTATGGCTTAAATGTTGATTTGTTTGTAGTGTTAATACTTTTCTGGAATTATTTGACTCTAGCCGACTGAGATTAACAATAAAAGCTTCTCATCTGTTTGGTCATCACATCGCTTTGAAATTGTTAGAATCTTTTTGTATCTTAAACATATTTTAAAGACATTCGTGCAGGGAGCAGCGGCTAAGAAACTCGACAACCTTTGTGTGCGCGTGCAGCCCCGTCCTGTCTTTCAGATGGAAAAAGCTCTCTAGATACTGAAAGTACGACATAAACTTCTTGTGCAGAACTTCTCACTAACGTGTCAACTGCGACTGCTCGCCCACAGTCTCACCAACAAGCCGTCTCAAGCACACAGACTGCTGACCTTGAGGTCAAAGTGAGCGATGCGTTTGGAGTGCAGATACTGAACGCCGTCCAGGATCTGCTTGAGGAACTGGGTGGCCTCCTCCTCCGTCAGAGACTCCTTCTCAGCCAGGAAGTCGAACAGCTCTCCCCCGGACACCAGCTCCAGGATCAGGATCACGTCGGTCTTGTTTTCGAAGATGTCGTGCAGGGTGATGATGTTGCTGTGTTGGATCTCCCGCAGGATGTTGACCTCGCGCTCAATCTCCTCGCGGCTCACCCCCCGCCGGCTGGACGACAGCCGCCGCTTCTTGATGAACTTGGCGGCGTACTCGACGCTGCTGTTCTTCTCCTTGCACTTCCGAACGATGGCGAACTGTCCGCTGCAGGGAGGAGAGGAGGAAAATAAGGATAATTTTTTTTTCTAGCTTCATGTTGTTATAAAGATTGAATTCTTGGCTGCTGGTCAGAATACAAAGGAAACACATCAGTTTGAGCTATAATAACCTACAGTAGTCATTAATATTTGATAAAAAAACTCGTCCCAACTTGTTTGCCCCCAAAATGAAGCAACTTTTTCTTGTGACCCTTCACCACAGATTGTAGCCTCACTGTGGACATGAAGTTCAACCAAAAAGGATGTTTTTTCTTTCTTAAAATTGTTTCATTTGAAGGATTTTAAGAAGCCTGAAGAGGCAAAAATATTTTTTATTTTACAAGAAAAAAAGCAACTTGAAAACAATGAAAGATGACTGCACACTGTCTTTTTAAACAACGTTTCAGGTTATATAACCTTCATCAGGTATATCTTTTTTTTTCTATTGGAAATTGGAATTCCTAAATTGGAAAATCCTCATTCAACAAAATATAGACTTTATCAAGTAATTTCTGTCAATAATCGAATCATAAAAAACTAATTTTCTTAAAATAAGTGAAAGAATCTGCCAGTGAGAACATTTCAACCTGTTTCCAATAGAAATAAACTTCTTTGAAGACTTTTTCAGAAATTAGAGTCTGTTCCCTTTTCACTTGTTTTAAAACTTTAAGGACTTGTAGAAATAAATGAAAGAGAGATTTTTGCAAGAATCTTAATTACTGGAATAGAAATGATTGAGGTTTACTTTTAAAGTAGCAGGCAGATACGTCTGAAAACTGTCCTAACTATTGTAAACAAAGATAATCTATTGTAATCTAGTGTTTTAGAAAGAAAATAAATAAATAACATTACTTACAATAACAAAAAGGGACCAACGTGCAGGTGAGGAGAAACATTTCATAATGCAGTAATACTGTATGACCGTGCAGAGAATTGATTGTTCTCCTATTAAATCTCTACATACCTTCCTATCTCAACACACACACACACACACACACCACAGCAGAGGTGGAAAGGCACACTGAGAGGCAGTGATGTCATACCTTTGCTGCATTACTGCAGAAAAAAAAAAAACACAGCTCAGGTGAAGAAAGCTGAGTTTAATCTATTAAGATGTGATGACTCGTTCACAAAGTATCAAACACAGTCTGAACAGGAGATTTAATATTCTGCTGACACACACTTAGATATTCTGGCCTTTAACAGATCAGATGGTTCGCAGCTCAAACCTGGAATCAAAATGCATCTCAAAACACAACCACTGGTAAAAGACACACAGTTTGAAAAGAAAAAACCTCTTAACTCACTTTATCGGAGTCTCTACATGCTGTGCACATACTACCAACTAACTGCACAGGTTTTTAATACCATTAGTGAGCATTTTCTATATGTGACGGCCTTCAAACATGCCAGAAATAAACACATCCTAAAGCATAAATTCTGTGTTTTAGGTGCATTCAGACTCGTATTTAGTTTAGCTGTTCTTCAGCGACTGAAACCCCCAACACACATTCAAGTACGAACAGCGTCTTTAACTCCAGTCGGAGTATTGTTTTGCGTTTTCATCGAAGAAGAAAAGACCATCAATACCTGCCCAGCTCCTCTCCCATCTCATAATACAACTCAACATCCTCCTGCCTGAAGCCAGCCATGGTGCCGCTGACTGGAATGATGATGGGAACAAAGCCTGAAGATTCACTGCAGAGAGGAAAAGAAACCAGACACAAACATAAACAACAATAAATGCTGGCACAGATTGGTGTGGGACCAAAACAAAGCCACGTTAGCAGATCTAAAACGTGATAAAAGTCTATAGTTATAAGCCACAATTACATTTTTTACACCCACAAGGCCACTGAGCTGTGAGTACCTGCTTCTTTCCTCCTTATTTGGCCCGAGTCAACACAGCTTTAGTTTTCAGAGACTTTCTGGCTGATGTCAGACCTCTGCATACCAGTCCTACTGACATCATCTCCTGCCCCGGACCAGCTACCTACGACTCTATTAAAGGGATTTAACACCACTAACAAGTGTCTTTTCCTCGCGATTCAACCGTGTTTTAACGTGACTGGTGTGTATGTATTAAAAAAACACCACACAGTTACTTACACTTACACCAAACTACTTCTGATTGTAGCTTTATAACGCACACACAGCTGGAAAAGATGCTGAATAGAGACTCATTCGTGTTACGAGGCAGGCAGCAGAGGCATTTGTCCCCCTTGTGGGATATAATAATTAATAAAGAGCAACATAAAGGTCGAGCTTGTTGCCTCAAACACACTTATCCAAGATTTAAAGGAGAAATAAAGGAAGAAACCCAGCGACGGAGAGCAGAGGTAGCTTAGCTGGTTAACTAGCCAGCGTTAACGTATAAACGCCGGCTTTCGCTGTTTTGTGGTTGATATACGACAAATAACACCGAAATACCGGAATAAATGTTTATATTCAACTCGACACAACGTGAAGGAGGTGTTATAACGTATACTTACAGTGTGTGTTGGCTGTGAGAGCTGCATTACCGTCCGGAGTCGTTCAATGTGAATTCCCACTGAACTGAGCGGAGGTCAAGTTAGCCACAGTGGAATACAGAGCTTCCGGTTCTCGGCTTCACAATAAAAGCCCTGACCAAACATTATGGCACACCACTGATGTTGTGTTGTATATTTGGTGCCTTTGGTGTTAGTTGCTCCTTACCTGCAGTGGTGAATGAATGTGTTTTTTTTTTTTACCATTCCCTTTTATTTGTTTTGATTTTAAAAAAGCTAAATAATAACAACACATATGTACGATGCGCAAGAGTATTTGCATTTATATTGTTACCAGAGAAGAGAATTATTGAATATTGGTGTTGTACATGAACAAAATCATCCCTCAGCTCAGTCAGTTATCTTAATGCCAATAAATGTTCAATTCTGTTGACTAATATTGATCAAATAACACTGACAGAATACCCTGCATACCTAAACATACTTTCATACTTAAAGTAGAGTAAACATACCTCCAGTTAACCGCATACTTAAAGTATGTTTGACAGTGTTGCAAAACTAAAACACCACCGACCACTGAAAGCACCAATAGTGTTGTTTCGGGAATTTGTTTGCTTTTTTTCATGAGAAAATGACTTAAATTTCAATTACACACAAATTATATTTTTGTCTTCTAAAGCTTATTTTAATAGGGTTCTTTTTTTAGAGTGAATTTAATTAGATCTCAGCGTCTTTATGTAATTATTTATACAAAAAATATATTTTCATGGTTAAATTAATAGATAAAATGTGAAAAGAGATAATTGTGTTGGGGTTGCACTGCCTGGGTAAGTATGGACTCATTACTTCCAAATCCTGGATACGGACCTAAAAAGAACTCCACAGTGTTTTTTATATCTTTAATTATGTTTATGCACCAAGTTTAAAGCATATTTGTCATTTCAACTTTTTTAAAAATTACAGAAATACCATATTTCTTTATATACATTTATAAGCCTGTCACTCTGACCAAGTGTCAGTATAATATAAAATATATATTTGTATTATTTTATATTTTATATTTTATTTATTATATATAT